ACAACGAATTATTCGATAAATCTGCATGCTGGTTATGGGAACGAAATTTCTAAAAATTTTGCAGTTTTGATGAACAATATTATTCCGGTTCAGTCGGAGTGTAGATGAGAAGATTTTGATTAGAATCAGTGATAAAGAGTGCGCTGAGTCTTGTTCATCGTACTCAGTCTTGTTCAATGGATATTCCTGGAATAATTTCACTGTTAATCCGATCATATCCATACTTTTGTTCAAGCGCATAATTACGTAGACACACGTACAGCATTCGGTTTCGTGCAAAACTCACTGTCAATGTTTTCACTTAAACAGAAAAAGTGATGAGAGTCGAGAATTTATAGTGCGTGACTTGAACGCAGCACGTGAGTGGTGTGAGCGAGCGCTGGAATTGAATCCAGAGATGCCGTGTGCTCTGATCTTGATGGCGTTGATATTCACAGCACAAAACGATTACAAAGCAGCTTTGGAGCTTGTCATTGAAGCATTAAACGACTTCCCTTCAAATTTCGCACTGCTCGTACTCAAACTTAAACTCGACGTCAAATTTGGTCAGGGTTTTTTCTTATTTGTTTTTATTGATTTGCACACTTCAATTTGAATTAAGCAATGATGTAGACTCGCCGAAAATGTTCGTTAAGTGATGATTAATTTAATCAACAATCGAAACTTGTTAAGAGGTGAATGCTTCTCTTGACGCAAACAAGAAAGTCGAATCGCACGGAAAGGATTTATTTTTAATAGAAATATTGCTATTCATTTATTCAGTTTGTTCATTAATGCAGGTCGAACCGAAGAAGCTCTGTCCACGTCGAATAGTTTACTTCAGTTTTGGCGTAAAACTGATCCGTCGTATAGTTTCGGTGGTGGCAGTGACATTATTGCCCCAAATATATCAAATTATGGTATCGTCAAGTTGCCTTTTGAATATTTTTTGGGCTGTTCAAATCCGAAAACATATCTTTTGCTATAGCAGTCACATACGTTGTAATAGAGTTGATGATTTGCTAGCAAATGGATAAATTTTCGGATGTGTATTGTTTGTTTTCGAGTGATATTCGATTTGAGTGAATGAAAAAGAGATCGTTTATTTGAAGTGACCGAAAAGAATCGATGTGAGAGCATAGCACGAGGAAGCGTGGCACGTTCGATGAGCAGTCGTGATGCAATGACCCCGATTGCACCAATGTTTACCGCTCCTTTAGGCATAATTGCATCATCCACATCGATGATCGGCACGAGTAATTTGGATCTGAGTGGTCAGTATTATTATTTATATAATGGCAAATTATGTTATCGTATAGTTTATTTTCTATTTGTTTATTCTATTCATTTTCTGTTCGTTTATTTCTAATTTTTTTATTTTTCATTTGTTTATTGCTTCTGTTTGTGTATTCCTTCATTTCAAGTGTTGATTGCGATTGTTTCTTCA